TTTTATTTTCCTCTCTCTCTCTCTATGGAGTAGAACTTTCTCTCACTTGGGTATGAAGAACTCTAGTTCCATGTGTTAGGAATCTTGATTGTAATGACTTGGGATTGATATACTGATTGATTTTAATCGATTGATGCATGATTCATTGAGTCAATTGAAGCATGATCATCTTTTCTTGATTTCTGCTGCAACCTGAGATAGATATATAGAATTTGATTAGGTTGTTAGAGCTTCATCAATCTGTAGTGGTAGATTGGTTATACGAGATTTAATCAATTTATTGTTTAGTACTGGTGTCCAATTCCAGTAGTCGAGTTCTGCGTTTATTGCCTCAGCAGTCTATCCCGGTGAAGGCTAGTCGCTTGTCGGTTAGTCTGCCTGAGAGAGCTTGATCATCTTAAGAGATTCCAAGCTACTGTCGGATCTTCCGCAGTTTAATCAACAGTCAATCAACCCAAGGTAATTACAACCTTGACCTAACTAAGGAGCTAGGGGGACTCATTCCCGAGTGACTCTTCCCTTGCTAAAGAACTTTGAACCATTTCCTGCTTTCTTACTGCTTTTGCTTAAATCACAATCACTCGACTTAGTTTGCTAGATAATAGATAATCACGGAGTATGCAGTAGATCTGGACCCCGGGTTGACAAATAGAACTTGCCACTATACTGCATTTCCGGACTGCGATTGCATTGGTCGCAGTTTGGTGTTGTGTTTTAGCGTGTCAGTAAACTTGTATTACAAACAAATGAATACAAATTATACAAATCATAACATAAAAGTATACAAACTAGAAAAGCAAACATTACAAATTACAATATATACAAAATAGTCATATATACATTACAAAGGTAATAGAGAAAAATGACAAACAAGAATGATAAACAATACAAACCGAAATTGATATAAAGATTACAAAACAGACTTATAAACATTACAATATCGGTCGACATTACAAATCCAACAATGTCGCCAGGAAATCATCGATTGTCATCTCCGATCGCCGGAAAAGCCTCTGTAAGAAATCCCAGGCGGTCGGCGGGGGTTTCCAGAAAACAGGCGGCGGGGAGAGTGTGGGAGGGACATCGGGTTCAACCCGCTTTTTTATTTTAATTGTTAAATAAATAATCTGTTGTAATTACCATCTTGTCCTTCATTAAATGAGATTAATATGAGCCATTGGATTTTAATGAGGTGGAAGGGTGGAGATTCACTTAGTCATATGACTAAAGGACCCCCCTTAGTCACCTGATCTTAGCCCGTGCTATGAGCTAGCCCGTGACTTAGTATTATGAGCAAGGCATCTCATTTCCTGTTGGCAGTATGTTGACCCATAAAATAAAAGTTAATTTATGAGTTTGAAGTTTGTATAATCTCATCATATTCTCTACCTAAATTTATTATTCATATTGTGACCCGTGAGTACTTGAACTCGTGAACCTCGCTTAGTCAAACCACATTTGGATACCATGTCGAGAAACAACTAATCCCTAACTCGAGTTATTTGAGAGATATTCAAAATACGAAATTCATACGCCACTTCCTTTGACAACCAGAATCCAGTTCTAATATATGATGAATAACCGGATCTTGACACTCGGTTGATTTGCAGAACACAAAGTGATTTCCAGTTATTTACTGATCATAGGCTCATAGTACGATCTCTATGCCCATTAGTATATTTTTATTACCAGCCAAACAAAATACATTGAGATATATAGAAATACACCGCCGGGAGGTTTATCCATGTCGTCCAATACACTTGCCAGTTCCAGGAACATAACTACAAGGATTGGGTCCCGATTGTACTGTGGTTCCTGCGTACAATTTGATCAACCATGTCGTTACTTTTCAATATATCAATATTGGTTTTCCACAACCAGCTGCTGCAACCCCTTAATCTTATCTGAACCCTATAATCATACGAGTAGAACATACTCTAATATTATTTATTCATAATTACATTTACATAGATGGCAACTCGCAGCGGCGGATCCAGGGCTGGGCCAACCCAGGCCCCGGCCCAGCCCTCCTCCGGATTCAGAGTTAGTTTAGTGGTTATAAAATTTTTCGATTTAGGTATTTGGCACAGTGCTATTTAAAATTTTGTCTAGTTTTATTTGATAATAGGATTTTATATAACTAGGAAAAAGGTTCAGATGAACATATCCAAACCATACTCTAAATTTATACTAAATTTTCTATAGCCCCAATGATTTTATTTGAAAAATGACATGAAAACCTAAAAGTGTAAAGTTTCATTAAAATAAAATAAAAAACTCTAAACTAAAACACACCCTTCCTTTCAAAATTCAAAAAATTTCCCAATCCCCCCAAAACAAGAACGAGGAGACGAGCAGACCCAAAATGGATTTCTCTGCCAGCCCGTCGATCTGGTTTTCTTTCCATTCTTTTGATTAAGAATATATTTACAAACTTGCTGAGTCATCATTTAGATTGCCTCAATTGAGTGGGGCACTAGATTCTAACCGTTCTTTCTGGTGTTTTGATGAAGAAAATATTTACAAACTTGCTCAAGAGTTTAGCCTCGAGACTTTGAAGGCTATGAGATGCATTCTTTGGAGAATGCACTACTCATGTGAGGAAGATGAACTTTCTTCTCTTGCAAAATAATTAGAGCAGTTGGAGGAAATAGGGATGGACACATAATACAAATTGATTTGTCGGTTGATTTGTCTAGTGTTGACCTAGCCGATTCAACAACTACCATGAAGAGAATATTTTCAGCAATGGAACATGAACATTGATTTGTGCAACAAAATGAGCGACGAACTTCTCGTTGATTACTTAATAGGGATGGACACATAATACAAATTGATTTGTCCAGTTGATTTGTCTAGTGTTGACCTAGCCGTTTCAACAACTACCATGAAGAGAATATTTTCAGCAATGGAACATGAACATTGATTTGTGCAACAAAATGAGCGATGAATTTCTCGTTGATTACTTAGCTATTTTCTTTGAAAAAGAGTATATTATCAGTATGGATGGAGATTATATTATTGATGAATTTGCTAAATTAAAAGACCTTCTTGTACAATTGGCGTTGTAATGAAAACTATATTATTATATATTTTTGTTTATGGTATCTAATATTCTATTCACATACGGCCCAGTGCTCTCTTATGTTCTGGATCCGCCGCTCATGGCAAGTCAATGAATGATGGACTGATGATTAAGTCAATGAATTATGGTTTTCTTTTATTTTTCATATAATACTGCTGAATAAGGAGGTATAAATTGGGTTGGATGCGAGTTTCGAATACGAAACGCTTTGATAAAGAATTATATTATTGTGCACAGAATCATTTGATCATCTTAATAATTCTGAGACTGATGAAGTATGAATCTGATAGTATTCTCTAGAATAACATAATTTAATAATAATGAAAACGCTACTTAAGTAGTACCACTAACCTAGAACCTGGATATCCCAAATTTGAATCCTTTAAATAGTACCTTAATCGCAAAAAAAAAAACATATATCACTCTTATAAAAAAACACTACTTACCACGTTGGAGGAGTTGGCGGGTGGCCTCTGCCGGAACTGCTGAAGACAGAATGATCAGCACCATGAACATTATGGCTATCAGCTGGAAGAAAGGGAGAGCCTTTCTCATCGCCATCTTTACTGCTTCCATATATATATATATATCGATCTTCTTATCTCCTTTGCTACGAAATATGGCTGCTGCATGCTCTGCAGAGATTTCATATATAACTGGGAGAAGTTTCGTTTCTTTTCTTCATGGTGCCTCAATTTTCCAACGCCGCCAGACTTGACCATTTGGGCTTAGCTTTATGTGAGTGGAGTATGTCGTTTGGGAAACTTCTAGCCGCCCACCCGGAACACTTCTTTGTAGAAAATAATCACATTGATCCATTATATTGCTTTTCACTTTCCACGTCACTTCCGTTCTCTTTCGGATGAGTGTTGAGTCGAGTTTTTCTCATGGTTCGAGCTCAACTTGAGAAAAGTTACCTAGGTTTGAGTTTATGTTGAGCTTGGTTCCTTTGTGCGAATGGTAACTCGAGTTCTACTCGAGTTGAACCCTCGACTCAATACGTGAGCTCAACAAGAAAAGTCGAGTTTGGCTGGACAAATGAGTTCAAAGAGTGTAGTTGGCATAGATCCCGGTAGACAGAAAGCTCAGACAAAGTACATTCACCTACTGAGGTAACCACATCCCGGCATCTCAAATCAAAGATGTAAAATCATAAAGATCAGTAAGATCTAAACAAAAGGCTCCATTGCCCATAGCACCTAGAAACTACGATTAGTGGTTAACCGCAACCAGCAACAACAGCCTCTAAATGCATAGTGCGATTTAATATGTCAAATTAAATTACGACCATTTTACCCAAACTCACTTATTACTTTATTAAATAAAATAAAGTAGGAAGTTAGACTATAAACCACTTGCACTTTCCTTCTCCCACCAATGTGGTACTTTCCTCTTGTTGACTACTATAACACATACCTTTGATATTGGGCTAATACCACTGGAAATACCAATCTTTAGCGAAAGAGCCATTTATATTACGTAACTTCAATAAACACAAAAATATTCCAACCTATCAGGTATCTGCGTCATTTATGTTACACGAATTTGTGTTGACCGTTAGAGTTAACCGTTGACCTAACGGTGTCAACTTATGTTTGACTATTGCTTATGTGGAGCTGCCACGTAGGAAATTTACTATTTTAAAATATTTTTCTCTCTGCCCTCCTCCGCAACCTCATCCATTGCTATAAATGCTGCTCGTCATCGAATCCGAAGCCAATCCCAAAACCCGCATCGTCTCCGGCATCAACCTCAACCACGTTGTCATTTCCGGACGCCGGGTACCTCCCCTCTGAGCTTGGCCTCACAAATCTGGCTCTCTTTTCCAATAGGACACCATGGAGCTCAAGGCGGCGAGCCGGCGACCCTGTTATCAAGGCTGGCGTTTCGATTTCTATTCTCTCCGGATCGCCTTCTAGTGGAAAAACACTGCCCGCCGTCGCTCGTAGCCGTCGGGGACTTCCCGTGAGTGGAAGACGACAAGTCTTTCAAGGTCGATGTCGTCAAATCCAAAATTTCCCGACTCTTCGACAGGGACAAGCCGGACCACAAGATCTCTGGAGGACAGGCCATTGGCTTCAGGATCTGGTACTCCTTCCCTCCAAAGTGGAAAAACCAGATCAACAGTGGTGGCAGGGGCTTGGTTTTTACGCATCGTCGACGACGGCGAGCTTGGCGGTGTTAAATTGACTCTTCCTGTTTATTGTATTGCATTTTTTTTCTGCACCATAAAATTGAAAAGCTTGGCGAGCTCAAACCATAAAAAACCCAGAATCTAGTTCATCTTGGATCTCCTTGCCTTCTTTTGCATCTTGAATCCATACCCCGACCCTGTCCACCAACCCGACTCAAAACTCCTCTGCCGAATCTACACAGAAGACAGAACCTAGAATCCCAAATGATGCTTTCACAATAAAAGGTTGCTCTCACACTTTCTAAAAGATTGCCTCGCCATTTACATTTTTCTTTGCCCAAAATCCCAATTTCACAATAATGGGATGCAGAGGCGATTAGTGTGACCAAAGGATGGTAATTCGGTAAATGGAACCGTTTCACAGAAGTAGAAGAGATTGGGAGAATGTTGAGAGAGGGAAGGGTCTGACGGCACCGCCTCTGGGCTTTTAGAGGTTTAGGGTTTTCTTGAGGAGTGGGGCGGGTGAGAGAGAGAATAAAGAGGTGGATATTCATTTTAATTTTTTTTATTAAAAATTCCATGTGAGCAGCCACATCATCGTTGATTGTATTTTCTGTTAACAACTAACAGAAAATTTAACGGTTGGTATACAAATGACATATCGAATATTACGTAATAAAAATGACACTTTCGCTAAAGATTGGTATTTCTAGTAGTATTAGCCCTTTGATATTCTAATAATGTTACCTTTTCTTTCATGGATCAGTTTTCATGCTTTTCAAAAGATCATTTTCCTTAGATTTTGAAGGCTACGATCACTAATTCAACATGAGGCTATTCTTTAGCGATTATTAAGTCTATTAAACACCGATTTGGGTGAAATTATTCCGGGGCCATTTTTGGCAGATTCCAAAAGGGCACCATCACAAATTTTAGGCGTTTTTTTCCGAAAGGCCGTTTCCTTGGATTTTGAAGGTTACGGATCACGAATTCGCCCTTAGACTACTCTCCAGCAACAATGAAGTCTATTAATTGCCGATTTGGCCTGCTTTTTTAAGGGCATTTTCTTAATTTTTGTGCAATTTTTTCAAAATGGCATTTTTCTTAGATTTTGAAGGCTACAGATCACGGATTCAGCCTAATGCTATTCTTTAGTGATGATTAAGTCTATTAAACACCGATTTGGCAGAATAATTTTGGGGGCATTTTTGATAGATTCCAAAGGGGGTACTATCACAGATTTTAGGCGATTTTTGCGAAATGCCGTTTTCATTGGATTTTGAAGGCTACAGATCATGAATTCGCCATTAGGCTACTCTCCTGCAACGATAAAATCTATTAATCACCAATTTGGTCAGAATTTTTTCGGATGGCATTTTCGCAATTTTTGGGCAGTTTTTTCCAAAGGCCATTTTCCTTAGATTGTGAAGGCTACAGAGCACGGATTCAGCCTGAGGCTATTCTTTAGCGATGATTAATTAAACATCGATTTGGGCGGAATTATTCTGGGGCCATTTTTTGCAGATTTCAAAGGTGTACCATCACCGGTTTTAGGCGATTTTTGCAAAAGGTCGTTTTCCTTGGATTTTGAAGGCTACAAGTCACGAATTCGCCCTTAGACTACTCTCCAACAACGATGAAGTCTATTAATCGCCGATTTGGCTTGCTTTTCTCGTATGACATTTTCATAAATTTTTGCGCAATTTTATCGAAAGACCACTTTCCTTAGATTTTGAAGGCGAAAGATTACGGATTCAGCCTAATGCTATTCTTTAGTGATGATTAAGTCTATTAAACACCGATTTGGCAGAATAATTTCGGGGCCATTTTTGGCAGATTCCAAAGGGGGTACTATCACAGATTTTAGGCGATTTTTGCGAAATGCCGTTTTCATTGGATTTTGAAGGCTACAGATCATGAATTCGCCATTAGGTTACTCTCCTGCAACAATAAAATCTATTAATCACCAATTTGGCCACAATTTTTTTGGAGGGCATTTTCGCAATTTTTGGGCAATTTTTTCCAAATGCCATTTTCCTTAGATTGTGAAGGCTACAGATCACGGATTCAGCCTGGGGTTATTATTTAGCGATGATTAATTCTATTAAACCCCGATTTGGCCGAAAATATTCCGGGGCACTTTTTGGCAGATTCCAAAGAGGTACCATCATTGATTTTAGGCGATTTTTGCGAAAGACCGTTTTCCTTGGATTTTGAAGGCTACGAATCACGAATTCGCCCTTAGACAACTCTCCAGCAACGATGAAATCTATTAATTGCCGATTTGACCTTCTTTTTTAGGAGGGCATTTCCGTAATTTTTGAGCAATTTTTTCGGAATACCATTTTCCTTAGATTTTGAAGGCTACAGATCACGGATCAGTCTAATGCTATTCTTTAGTGATGACTAAGTCTATTAAACACTGATCAGGCAGAATAATTCCGGGGCCACTTTTGGCAGATTCCAGAGGGGGTACCATCACAGATTTTAGGCGATTTTTGCGAAATGTCGTTTTCCTTGGATTTTGAAGGCTACAGATAATGAATTTGCCATTGCGCTACTCTCCACCAACGATAAAGTCTATTAATCGCCAATTTGGCCTGAATTTATTAGGAGAGTATTGTTCGTAATTTTTTGCCGATTTTTTCGAAAGGCCATTTTTCTTAGATTTTGAAGGCTACATATCACGGATTTTGCCTGAGGCTATTCTTCAGCGATAATTAAGTTTATTAAACACCAATTTGGGCAGAATTACTCCAGGGCCATTTTTGGCAGATTCCAAAGAGATACCAATAAACCATCACAGTTTTTAGGCAATTTATGCAAAAGGTCGTTTTCCTTGGATTTTGAAGGCTACGGATCACGAATTTGCCCTTAAGCTACTCTCCATCAACGATGAAGTCTATTAATCGCCAATTTGGCCTGACTTTTTTTCGGAGGAGATTTTCGTAAATTTCGGGCTGGTTTTTCGAAAGGCCAATCTCCTTAGGTTTTGAAGGCTACAGATCACGAATTCAGTCTGGAGCTATTCTTTATCGAGGATTAAGTCTATTAAACACCGATTTGAGCGAAATAATTTCGAGGACATTTTTGACAGATTCCAAAGGGGTACGTACCATCACAGAGTTTAGGAAATTTTTACGAAAGGCCAGTTCATTGGATTTTGAAGGCAACATATCACGAATTCGTCATTAGGACATTTTCTGAGGGAATTTTCGCAAATTTTGGACGATTTTTTCAAAAGGCCATTTTCCTTAGATTGTGAAGGCTACATATCTCGTATTCAGCCTGAGGTTATTCCTTTGCGATGATTAAGTCTATTAAATACTGATTTGGGCGGAATTATTTCATGACCATTTTTGGCAGATTCCAAACGGGGGGTACCATCACTGATTTTTGGCGATTTTTGCGAAAGGTCGTTTTCTTTGGAATTGGAAGGCTACGGATCACGAATTCGTCCTTAGGTTACTCTCCAGCAACGATTAGTTCTTTTAATCGCCTATTTGGCATGATTTTTTCGAAAGACATTTTCGTAATTTTTGAGTGATTTTTTTCAAAGACCATTCTCCTTAGATTTTGAAGGCTACAGATCACGGATTCAGTCTGAGGCTATTCTTTAGAGATGATTAAGTCTATTAAACACCGATAATCTACGTGCCAACTTTTCCATCCGGAAAGTTGACTTAGTGACAACGATTCATATTTTTACTGACAAGATATAGACTTTGCCACAAATACATAACTTTTTGACGAAACATTATTGACGAAAGTGTAATGTCGTCCCTAAAAGCCTTTTTTTGCGACGAATTTGACCTGCCATTGCTAAATTTTGTCACTATGACTGTCTTTTTTGTAGTGCATGATCCTCATTCCTACCATGAGTACCAAGAAATAGGTGAATGTCATCATCAATTCTTCTCGTCATATGAAGAAGAAGTCCAACGGTACCATGACAACCAACAAGAAGGCTACCAGTACGAACCCGACTACAACTTCCATTCAGGCGGCGGTAGTTTTCACAACTACCATTACAGAGCTGATGAAGGTGCCTTTCATGATCTGGATCATATGGAAGATGCCCTGCCATGACCAGTTGTGACCCTGAGGATAAAGAAGAAAAAGGCAATGTCAATGCAGACAGCTTCGACCCTCTTGAAGGTATTGATGATTCAGGCCCAGAGTCATTCTTAGATGATGATGAGGTGTCTCATGACCGTGTACCTATCCCGTACTACAATCACATTCCAAATGAAAATTGGTATGTCAACGCTGACATGGAGCCTCCATAGGTGCCAATATGGGGTCCAATCACTAGGTTTATGAAGGGCCAAAAATTTGGTACGAAGAAGGAGGTGCGGCACGCTATTGAGACTGAAGCAATGACTTGGAGTTTTGAATGACGCACAACTCATTCCAACGCGAAGAGGCTCATAGTTAGATGTTAAAATCAACACAAAAGGATGCAAGGCTAGGATCCGGGCCATCAACAGCAAGAGAGTCTACCATTGGGTCATATCCCGTGCGGTGAACACTCACACATGTGTGTCATCCATAATATCCCAAGGCCATTGACGTAAGCATCGATCTGGCAGGTGCCACTCCATAATATGGTGACAAGTGACCGGACTCTCGTGCACCATTGATCGGAATGCCCAAGGAATTGCTCCAAATGCTAGGGAACGATGTTCTCGGGGTAAGGATCGTATAGGATCTTCAAAATAAATGACCAACTTAAGTTAAACGAAGTTGTATAATACATGTTGAAAATAACAAATGAAGAAGTTCACATTATTATAGTTACCTCTCCTTCCCAAAGTCTCTCTAGTCTCATCTGATACTCTGCCAACTTGTGATCGGAAAGGTTGTCGCATGTTGTGGCTCCATCCCACCTTATAAATAAGGACAATAATATAATGTTATAACTAAATAACTATCTATTGTGTTATCGAAATCATGAGTGAGTATGAGAAGTTCACCTACAACCATAAGCTTGGAGCCTTAGGCGATGATCAGGTCCGCAT